TACCCTTCTCCATCACATTGGGACCTGACTGGTCGTGTTACATCCTTCAGCAAAACAATCTCTGCTTTTGATGAGCTTATATCCTATGGGGAAAAATGATATATATATACAAATAAGAACATAGTAAATATATGCAAAACAAATGTGATATAATTTTGGAGGGGGCACTTACAACTGGAGGGATTTGAAAAGGCCTCAAGCAGAAGGTAGCACTTGAGCCAAACCTTTAAAAATCAATCAAAAGGCAAACAATCAAAAAGAATTTATTTAGCACTCATTATGTGCTAGGTACTGGGAATAGAAATACAACAGTCAGGCAGTCCCTTCTCTCCAAGGGTTTCTATTCTACTAGAAGAATTTACATTCTATATTTTAGGTAGTGTGTCTAAGAGGTGGAGGTGAGGAGAACAGGCACAGGAAATATTCTGTGTAAAAGCAGAGTTTTAACATGTATGAAGAACAGCAAGTAAGTCTACTTGGGTAGGACCTGGGATAATAAAGGGAAGTTATATAAAGGCAACCTGAAAAGATAAATTTAAGACAGATTGTTGGAAGGGACGGTATTCATATACCAAAAAGAAGAGTTGTTATTTTTATCCAAGAGTCAATAGAGAGCTGCTGAAGTTTTTTGGGTCAGGGAAGTGACATGGCTAGACCTATGCTTTAGGATTATCAATTTGGCATCTATGTGAAGGATGGATTGGAGAGGGGAATGACAATGGGTAGAGAAAACAATTAGGCAGCTATAGTAATTGACCAAGGGATAAGTGATGAGAGCCTGAACTAGGATTGTAGTCATGCAAGAGAAAAGAAGGGGACAGATGAAACAGACATTGTAGAGGAGAAAAAAATGATAAGATTTGACAACTAATTTGATTTGGAGATGGAGAGAGAGTGAAGTGTCAAGGATGACTATGTGGTTGTGAATCTGGGTGACTAGAAGGAGGATGGTGCCCCCAACCATAGGGGTTGAGTGAGAGAAATAGGAAGAAAGGTAAGTTTTGGAGGAAAGATGAATTTTCTCTCCAAAATACCATACTACCTTTTATTGTCAATCAGTGTTTTAGGAAGATTAATTTGGCTATGTCTGCAAGAGGGAATGAAGGGAAGAGATTGGAGGCAGAAATTCTGGTTAGAAGACCACTTAGTACCTATGTGACCTTATGTAAATCCCTTCTCCTTTCTGGGGATCAGTTTTCCACTCTGTGAAATGAGGAGGTTGGCTAAGATGGTATAAAATGGTGAATTTCATTTCTGGGGGTGGGGGAGGCTATAAGAAAAAGGAAATGATAATTCACTATTGGCCTAGCTGTAAATTGTTTAATTGGTCTAGGAAACAGTGTATAATTATGCAATTAAAGTCCTAAGGAACTGAAACAAATATATAACTTCAAGAACCATTCCCCAGTATACAAGTGGTCAAAAGATCTGAACAGACTTGAAAAGAATTGTAAACTATAAATGATCAGATGAAAACACATTCCAAACCACTAATAGTTAAGAAAATCCAAAATAAAACAATTCTAAGGTGCTTCACATGATGCAAATTGGCAAAGATGGGAAAAGGTGACAAAAGACAGGAACAGTCAATACTTGGAGGGGTTGTGAGAAGATAGGTATATATATATTGTTGATGGAGCTGGGAAGTGGTCCAACCATTATTTAGATTCTATCACTGGTCTTTGAATTCCCCAAAGCATTCAAAGGCAGAAACAATGGTTCAATAAATACCAAAATATTTATAACAGCACTCTTGCTGCTATGGTGCCAAAGAACTGGAAATAAAGCTACTGTCCGCTGACTGGGGAATAGTTGAAAAAGTAGACTTACTGTTCTTCATACATGACATAATATGTCTCTGCTTTTACATAGGCTATTCATAAGACATATTCATATGCTATATTAATGTAATCAAATATTATTATACAATTAAAAAGACAAATATGAAGAATTCGAAGAAGCCTAGGAAGACCTGTATGAACCGAAGCAAAGTCAAATAAGCAGAACTGAGTAAAATTTGTATTATTAAATTACCTTGTCATTAAGTTACTGGGCCATTCCACAACTAACTACATCCCAAGGAGGTTATTGGCTGTCCATTTATTGGAGAATGGATCTGACAAAAATTCTGGTATATATGAACATAAGTAAATATTGCTGTACCATAAAGAATATGGAATGTGACAAATTTTGGGAAACATCAGAAGACTAGTATTAATTTATATAGAGTAATGTAAACTAAATAAAGAGAGCAATTTACATGGTAACTACAATAACATAAAAGAATACAATACTGAAAAACTTCAGAATTTGTATGTTTTCAGACAAGGACAATGTGTTTGTTTTGTTTATCTGTACCTATTTGTTACAAAGGAAGTTGGGGGGAGGACTTTGGGAAGTGAAAGTAATGTAAAAAAGGGGGAAATTGTATCAGTTAAAATGAATAAAATCAAGATGTTGGCTTAAGGTATCACCTCATACCCATTAAATCAGCAAAGATGGGAAAACTTATTGGTATAGGGAACGTAAGGAGACACGTATGGCATTCACTGCTGCTAAAATTGCTTATTGGTTAAACTATTCTGGAAAACAATTTGGAATTGGGAAAGAAAAATTACTGAACTGTTCATGACCTGGAAACTGACACCCGGGACTCCCAAAGGCATATGATAGGGTAGTAAAAAGAAAATTGTACTTAGAGTCAGAATTGAGTTTGAATCCCAGCTCTGTTGCTGAGAGATATTGGGAAAACTCTTTGATCCTTGGTTTCTTCATCTTTAATAGGAAAACAGTGTTGAATTTGGGATTAGAGGATCTGGGGTCAAATCCTGGCTCTGCCATGTATTACTTGTGTGACCTCGGACGAGTCATGACCCCACGGGGGCTCAGCTTCCTCATGTGTAAAATAAGGAGTGTGTACTAGGTGGTCTGCGAGGTCCCTGCTAGCTCCACAGCTATGAGACTATGATCCTATAACATAAAGGGGGTTATTGGTGGCTATGAAAGACATATTGACAAAAAATTAGAAACAATATGACTTGGGGGAATGGCTGATCAACTTGTGATGCATGATTAGAATGGAATGTTATTATAATAATATTCCATAAGAAACAAAGATGAGGGATTCAGAAAAGCATAGGAAGATTTGTATGAATTAATGCAGTGTAAGATAAGCAGAACCAGGAAAATACACAATACTCAATATGTAATGTAATAAAAATAATACTGACAGGTAGTTAAACTCTGATTCATTGTAAGACCAGTCTTGTCACAAGAGAATAGATAATGAAACATAACTCTCTTCTATTGGTTGATAAATGGAGAACTAGAGATCTTAGACCTTGTCACTACCTTGGTGGTTTTGGTTTGTCCAATGGTGGGAAAAGTTGCAGGAAGGATTATCAGGAAAGGACTGTCATGGAAAAATAAAAAGCAAAACTTAAAATGAAATTAAGAAGAAAAGATCTATTGTACAGAAATATTCATAGCTATAATCTGTGCTTAAAAAAACTGGAAGCAAAATACATGATTAGTAATTGGGGTAACATACTATAGCATATGAATATGATGGAATATTACTATACCTTAAAGGTATCATAACAAATAGAAAATTTTCAGAGAAACATGGGAAGACTTGTTTAAAGTAATTCAGAATAAAGAAAACAGAATGAAAGGAAAAAATACATACAATGACTACAACAATATAAAGTTAACCAAAGACACAACAAACCTCTGATGAACTGCAGCAGTTGCTGTTAGTGTTTTCTTTTCTCTTAACAAGGGATAAACTATTTTCTTGGTACATACTTTGTAGAAGGGCAGTGTTTGGGTGTGTTGTACTACGAGAACTTTTATCGATAATTTAAAAATGAAAAATAAAATGAGAGGATTGGGTGAGATTATCTTGGCATCTGATAAAGCTTGAAATTCTATATTATTTATTATTGCAGGAGTACAGAGGAAGGCATTCAACTAGGAAGGAAAGTATGGAATTGGATAGGAAATAAAGCAGTGCTTGGCACCTGTCCCTCTCTTGCATGCACTTCGATGATTCCCCATTGTTTACAGGATAAGGTCTAAACTCCTATGAATGGCATTCAAGGGGCCTTAAGAGGTCATCTAGTCCATTCCTCTGTCGCCAATTTGCTTTTACAGACTTGTCTCTCACTCTTCTCTTCTTTGACTCTAAACAATGACATATGCATTCCTGCCTCGGGTCTTTCATCCTGCTTTCATCTCATTGCCGTCATCTTCACTTACCTAAGTCTGAATCTTCAAGGCCAGCTGAAATCTTACCGACTCCCAGAAGAGCTTACACACTGCCTCTGTCGTCAGCAAGAGCTTTTTTCTTAGTGTCAGTAAACAAATAATCGAGAGGAATGATATTCATTTCCGCACTAAGTAGAGCCTGTCTGGAAATTCTAGTACCCCTTTTCTCTTTATACGGTGTTGCCAACTAAATTGTGAGCTCCCTGAGGGTAAGGACTGTCCTCAAACCTTTTTGCATCCCTAGCACCAATCACATGCGTATCTCCTCCCTAGGGGCTCTCCTGAGACTCTCTCCCAAGGAATCACCTCTGCCCCCTCCCCCAGGACACTCCTGAAGACTTTACCCGGGGTGGAGGGAGTTAGTAGATCCAGGCTACAAGTCCTTCTCCAAGCAGTACTCCCAGCTCTCAGGACCGGTCACCCCGGGGTGACCCCGTGGGGGGCGGGGACGCGCCTGGCTGGGGGTGGGGCTGAGCCTGGGGTGAGAAGCGGGAACGCGCCAGGAGGAGACTGGAGCAGGGGCGAGGACGCGCCCGCGGTAGCGGGGACGAAGGCGGGAGGGCCGGGCGCGTGTCCGCGGCGCCGTGACTCGGCGGCTCCGCAGCGGCTGCAGCGGGAGGACCCGGCCGGAGCCGCCGCCATCGCAGCCGGGCCCCGCCGCCCCCGCCCCCGCCCGGCCCCGCCGCCGTCCCCGGCCCGGCCCCGCCGCTGCAGCTACAGCCGCCGCGGAGATGCTGAGAAGCCGGGGCCGCTGCGCCCTCGGGCCGGGCCGGAGCAGGAGCCGGAGCCGCTGGCTACCCGCGCTCTGCTGTTTGTTGGGCGCCGTGCGGGCGGCGGCGGGGGCCGGGGCCGGGGCCGGGGCCAGGGAAGAGGCGGCGGCGGCGGGGCCAGGGGCGGCCCACGAGGCGCCCTTTGCGGGCCAGGTGCGTACGAGCTGGGTCCCAGGAAGGGGGAGAGGGGCGAGCGATCCAAGTCTGGGGTTTGTGGGGAGGGGACTGTGACCGGGGAGAGGGGTTCAACCCTGGGCCCTGCTTGTTAGACCCGCTCACAGAGGCCCGGGGGACTTGGGGACCAGGGCGGGGTTCTGGCCCCGGGGCTCAGCCCTCCGGGAGCACGTGAAGAGTGGCAGACACGGACATGGTCATGGTCACGGACCCACTGAGGGAGGGCCTCTGGGGCCCAGGTCACGAGTTGAGGAAGGTGGCAAGTGGTGGTGGTGGTGCCGATCTGTTGGGGTCAGGGTCGCGCTTGGTTTGGGGCTCGCGGAAATGTCGGGATTATGAGCCCGATCCTGAGTGGGGACGGAGTGCTGGGATGGAGAAGGAAGGGAGTCTGTGGGGACTGGGGCACAAGGGTTCGGACTCGGAACCTAGGCGTTGTGCGCGCCTCGAGGACGCACAGGAGGGAGTCTCCTGGTTCAGCACCATGGACAGAGGCGGCGTCTGGCCCTTCTCTTGTGTGGGGCTAGGGCTACTTAGGGCTGGGCAATGAGCCCTCAGCCGATGCCTTGTGTAAAAGGAACCTTGTAAGAACACAGATAGAAGGGCCACCACCATCTGGACTAGGGAGAGAAAAGTGGGGAGCAGAGGAACTAGGGGCCTGGAGAAGAAATGAGAAGCTGTACTTGAAGGCTTTCATCCTTAGTTTCTTCGCCTCTCAGTTTCTCTCTTGGCCTCTCCCTGTGGCGGCCTCCTTCCCCAATTGAGCCCAAGGTTTTGTTTCTGGAATATCTATCCATGAGTTGGAGGCCCGTTTGGTGGAGGGCTTGGTGATGCTCCCCAAACTGGAAGTCAGAATTTAGGGAGTCCTCAAACATCTAGTGATTTTCTACCCAAATTTAAAGTTCTTTTTGTCTTCAAACTCAACCACTTCTTGCAGAAGATGAATTCTAAAGTTTATTCCCCCTTCGGAGGTTTTCTTTTATTTATGCTGAACTTATCTGGGGTAGTGGGAAGACCCCTGGACAGGGAAGGAGGAGACTTAGTTTCTAGTTCTGGCCCTGCCATCTACTCAGTATATGATTTTGGGCAAGTCTTTTTCTCTCTATGGTGCCCAGCATCCTCCTTTGCAAGGTAAGAGGGCTGAATTAGACTCTCCCTAAAGGGTCTTCCAGCTCTAATAACAATTACACTCAAATTCTAAGATTCAAATAAGATGTTCTATTTTACCGAATATTTCTTCACAATAGCCCTGTGAGGTAGATAGTGCAAATAATATTACCCACATTTTTTCAGGTGTGGAAACTGAGACCTAAAAAAGGGAAGTGGCTTGCCCAAGGTCATATAGCTAGTAAGGTAGTAACCCAAACCTAGACTCTCTGATTCCAAATTCAAGGCTCTTTCCACTGCATTTGTGATTCTTCTGATCTTTGAAGCTTTAACAACTGTACTCAAATATGTGTTAGGTGAAAGGTCCGTGTTTACCCCTAAAATTGTAGGAAGAGGGATTATCTTGGCACCTGATTTCATTAGTTTGAACCTGATGAAATCTTGTTCACTATAGGGCAGCTCCGTAGAATGTTCAAATGTTCCAGTTTTTTTTTCAGTTCATTTGAGTTAGAAAATATCCAGGCTTGCTTCCAGTTTGATCTGATCCCCTAGTGTTCCTTTAAAAAAAAACTTTTGGTTTCATTCATGGTTCAGTTAAAATAATATTTGGACTCAGTTTGGGGTTTAGCAAATTAGTTCAGCACATCCTGATTTTTAGGTCACGGTTCAGTTCAGTTCAAGTTCCCAGTCAAACTTATTTGACACATATTTCATATCTCTCCAAGTTTTAATTAGAAGCAATGCATTAAGGATAATACTTCACAACTGTATAGTGTTTTACCATTTGCAAAACCATTCATTCATTCATTCATTAAACATCTATTAAATAGTTGCTGCTGTGTACCATTGAAAGACTCATTCTGTCTGGAAGGGATCAAGGAAACTTTTAGGAAAGAGGCAACATTTGGGGTAAGCTTTAAAGGATGGGTAGTTGAAGATGTGGGTAGGGCATTCTAAGCATAGGTAACAATATGAAAAAAGACATGGAGGTCTGGTAGTGGGAGATGGTGGCACATCTTCAGGGGAATTATTCAGTTGAGTCCAGTAGAGTACATAATGGAGAGTAGTAAAATAAAGCAAAAAAGGGTGTAGTCATATTTTGGAGAGCCTTGAATGCCAAGCAAAGGAATTAGAATTGTATTCAGTAGGAAATAGCCATCCACCAATAGTTTTTGAAAAAGTGACTTAAACAGTTATGTGAAGGATAGTTTAGAAAAGTTAGACACTAAAGGCTAAAAGACTGTTGCAGTAGTTCAAGTGAGAGAGAATGAACCATGGAACTCAGTTATGGCTAGAATTTTTACATAAGTTTTACCATGTGATCCTTCTAACCTCTGTAAAGGAAGCAAGGCATGTATTGCTAGTTCTTTTGTACAGTAGAGAGAACTGAGTGACAGAGAGATGTAACTTGTCCAAGATCATATAGCAGAACCAGTGATAGAACTTAGGAGGCCAGGGGCAGCTAGGTGGCACAGTGGATAGAGCACCAGCCCTGGAGTCAGGAGGACCTGAGTTCAAATCCAACCTCAAACACTTGACACTTACTAGCTGTGTGACCCTGGGCAAGTCACTTGCCTACCCCCCCCAAAAAAGAACTTAGGAGTCCTGAGTCCAGTGCTTTTTCAGTTATGCCACAGCTCCCTCCCCATTGCTACTCATAATTATTATAATTAATAATAATACTTTAAAACTGTATTCCTAATACCTTTGGTATCTAAGATCATAGAATACCATATGTGGAAATTATCTTGGAGATAATGCAGTCCAAACCCCCATTTATCAAAGGAGGAAACTAAAGGGGCCTAAACCACATTTGACTTACCTATTCTTTTTTCCTGTCCATTAGCAGTTTCAGATAACAGATATGAGCTATGGCTACATGACAATTGGTATTGTTCACTATGAAAAAAAGAGGGCAGAGTAGGTGGTGGTTTCCTTCCCTCTCTGGGAGAAAATGGATCCTTTTTTGACTTTACTTTGAGCTATAGGAAGAGCTAACACAGCATCCTTTGTGCTTACTATGTGAGAAATATCCTTTCCTCCTTTCCCCCTTCCCAGCCCCCCCCCGGCCCCATTCTCACTATCATCACGTATTACCTCAGCTGAACTCCCTGTAGACCCAAGCAAGGGTGTTTGCTCTGGCCTCATGGACATAGGCCAAAGATGTTGTGCAGATCCCAGTGGAATTCTCCCTATGGAAATTCTAGTCCTCCCACTGGGAGACTAGCTTAGTGCAAGTTAGACGTCAGAGTCTAAGGATGACCTGGAGCTTTCTTTTTGTAATCAAAGATTTAGGAAGAAGAAGAAAAACAGTTGTTGGAAATAAACAAGTATTGTGACTTTGAATCATAGACTCTCAGTGCTGGAAGCAGCTGCAGGGCTCATCTGGTCCAACCTGTACTTAAGCATGAATCTCTCCCTCTAATATCCTCAGCAAATGTTCATCTAGCCACGGCTTAAAATGACAGAGAGTTCATGCCCCCTCCATTGTTGGATGGCTCTGATATTTAAGAAGTTCTTTCTTATACTGGGGCAGCTAGGTAGTACAGTGGATAGAACATCAGGCCTGCAGTCATCTTCCTGAATTAAAATCTGGCCTCAGACATTTACTAGCTATGTGACCCTGGGCAAGTCACTAAGTGACCTTCTTTACCTCAGTTTCTTCATCTGTAAAATGAGCTGGAGAAGGAAATGGCAAACCACTCCAGTATCGTTGCCAAGAAATGGGGTCACTAAGAGTCGGACACAACTGAAAAACGACTGCAACAATTCTTACAATGAACTGAAGTTTGCCTCCCTATAACAGCTCAGTCTGTGGCTGTTCCTGAGAAGTTTGGGTAGGCAAACCAGATCCTGGTAACAAAATCTCCAGTATGAATCTATATGGAACCTCAGAACTTCTGAGAGAGCCAGGAATAGCTGAATTCTGTTGGAAAAAGTGAGTGTGTTATTATAACTTATTTAGACTTTAGATTGTTTCCTTCTACTTCTATGAAAGTGTTCATTTTCCACAGTGAATTGGAATCTTGTGTAATCAATGAGTAGTCACAGGTTCTCAAGGTGGAAACCTTTGCCCTGGTTCGTGGGATCTGAAGTCCAGGAATCTGGGTTTGAATCCTAACTTTGTTTTTTACTCTTTGTGTGACTTAATCATTTAACCCCTCTGGGCTTCAGTTTCTCATTGGCAAAAAAAAAAAAGGAGTTGGATTAGATGACCTCTCAGGTCCCTTCCAGGTCTGAATCTATCATCCTATGGTCCCTCACTTCTGGTGAGTTGTGGCCTTTAGGGTTGCAGAATTCCACGCTGGAAGAAACTTTAGCACATAGCATGTCAGAGCTGGACAGATCCTTAGAACATAGAACATGACTCTGAGAGCTGGAAAGGATCTTTGAAGTCACCTAGTAGAATCCCTTCACTTTATAGATGAGGAAACTGATGCCCAAAGAAGTAGTGATTGGCTCAAGGTCCCACAGAAAGCAAGTAGCAGAGATAGGATTCAAATTCAGGTCTTCTGACTAGAAATTCTGTATAATTTCTACATTATCCCATGTTGTATCTCAGAGTCACCTGCCCAGGGAGAGAAATGACTTGCCTAAGGTCATGTAGAAAGTTACTAATAAAGCCAAGACTAGAAATCCTGACTCTTATCCCAGGGCTTTTCCTACTACCTCGTGTTGCCTCATAAGTAGAACCCAAGAGTCTGCCCAGTTCCTGTGCCTACAGTACAATGGAAAGAGCACTAGCTTTGAAGCCTGAGTACCCAGGTTCAAATTCTGGATTTGTCCTTTACTCTCTGTGTCCTTAGACGAGTCCCATCACCTGCCTAGCTCTCAGTTCCCTCATCTGTAGAAATTAAAGGATTGGACTAGATGGT